CTCTTGAAAAAGCACAGTGCAAATTACATCTCCGAAGGAAAATTACCGCTAACAGGTCCCTTAAAAAGGGATATTGTTCCTTTAATGGAAAACCCTTCGGTGCCTAAAGTATCCATATTACAAGCCTAATGGGACATGGAGATTGAAGCGCTGGTCTCCTACTGGGTTCACTATTGGTCTTTGTCTTTGCATTTCATCTAAATCCTACACTGAATTACATCTGATGCCAACCTTCTTTTTGGGGCACAGCAGGAACCAGCAGCTGTATGTACTGGGGACTCTGCTTCTGAAAGACCCCTGTATTTTTATAACATTACAAGTCTTACTATTAATCACCTGCTGTAAATAAAAAGCATCCAAAAATCATTCCCTCTTAGGTAAAAGATGTATATAAAATATTACCAACTATCTTTCAAGACCTGTAATAGCAATTGCTTTCCTTTTGGCAATGAGCAGATAGCCAGACATAGAAGGTTTTGTGTGTCACCTCAGACAGAAAAATCAATGTATTTTACAAGGCAGAGAGACAAAATTAACAGACAAATGCATTCACTATCTATATTACAGATACTAGCCCAGGGGGAATTGAGTTTGTGATAGTTTCTGATCAAAGCGATTAATGCAGAGTACTCTGGACAGAAATCGTGCAATTCATATATAGTACATGCTTATCCTGTAAGTATCAGCATCACACATTCTTTAGTGACAGTGTAGTGATTTTTAATAATTTTAACACAGAGAACCAGCACAGTCATAGTTGAACAAAACATTCATTTTGCTGATTACACATGGAAAATCTTCATATGGATTTGATTATCCAAGATTTTAGGTGCTGAATTCCTACTGAGACACTTGATCTTCATTGAAATTGGAGGGAGTTAGATATTTAAAAAATGGCTTTGGGGGAAGTAAGATCATTACTGAGGCTAGCCAAGCCAAAAAATTAGTGGGTGCAGAAAGAAACACTCCAATTTTCACTGTAGAACGCCCCCCCCCCCCCCCCCCCAATAAATGATTATGGTCACTATTAGGATGCAGAGGGATTTAACCAATAGGAGAAACTCCAATAGCTCAAAGTTGACTTTGCAGACTGAAAGTGTTACAAGGTAATTGCCTCCAATGAGAATTGCTGGCTAGGTGACCATTAGTACTGAACCCCACAAAGCCTTCTCTCCTGAGACAGGTTTTCCTTCAAGGAACTGCTCCTGCCACTGAAGCATCACTCAGGCAAACACCCCTAACTTCTTACATACGCCCCAGTAGTAAATCATGCACACTTAGTGTTGAATATCAAATTCTGACTAGAATATCTTAATGAACTTCTCCACATACAACTTTTCTGACCATTTCTAAATAAACCCAGTAGAAACTATATTATTTTCTCCCTTCGACCAAAACCGCCTATTTGTCTTGCAGTGATTCCATGACAGATGACAGCAAAAAACCCTCACAAGATTGAGCCATCTGTAATAATTTTCTTACAAAACATCGCTAAATTTGTCTCATCAGCATATATTGATAACACTGTGGCTGATAACATCTGCAACCCTGCAGAGCATATGCTGCTGCACAACCCTGATACTGCACCCCAAATCACTTTATTTTTGTTATTTAAAAAGCTGCAAATATCAGGCTTTATTTTTGGGGTTAGCATAGAAAGGAGGAAGAGAAGAGGATACCACTGTTATTCCAAAATCATGAATGTTCCTCAGAGCTTCTGGAAACTCTCACCCCCTCAGAGAGGATGAGATAAAGGCATCAGCCTTGAAGGGCGTTACCAAGTTCAGCAGCTGAGAGCAGAGCCAAGTGTTACACAAAGCCAAATTATATATTAGCTCCAGTGAGCTTCTGTGTACAGCAGAGATATTGTACAATACAAACTGATACCAATAGGAAATCTATAGGTTTTGATTTTTATCCTTGATACAGCTGTCCAATGAAACATTCTGGTTTGTGGCGTTTGCTTTTTATGCCTGTTCACAGCAGATCCAGACAAAAAGCTAAATGGACATCAAATATCCATCTTTCATTGCCAGCAATGTAAAATCAGTCTCAATGCCTATTTTAAGTCAGAATAATGAGAACATTTAGCCCTTTTAAGTTCTGGTTTTCCTTCAACTAATGAAACTACACATCAACTTACTGTCTTTATGCAGTGACACAGAGGTCACTGCTGTGAGATTTATTTGATTTCACAGTTTAGCTAATTAATTTGCTCATCCTGAGCATACACCATCAGTACTGCTTTTGGAATAGTACTACCAAAGCAACAGATTAATTTACATGGTACAGTGCATCTGGAATAATTATTACCTCACAGAATTGTTATTGCTTAAAATCTGCGGGGAGAGGGAAGTTTCCTGCTGTGATAAAAGTGCTCTGCTCTGGTTTTATCAGCTGAAAACAACTACGTGGACTAAATTACAAAAGAAGCTTCTTGTAAGAGTTAAGCAGCACATACTCCAGAAGTCCATAAAGCTGGTACACTACCAAATTTGTTTCTCTGATTTATTTCGTCCCAAATAATGTTGGCACGCTAAAACTCCTCAAGCCACTCCCATTCCTCCAGCAGTACTAACAGCCACTTCAGCAGTCAACACCAATTAACAGAGCAACGCTTTTCTCACTGCTCAGGAGTGTTGCTGACCCCCCTGTTTTGGAAAACAAGCCTTTTTATTAAAATGTCCTTGAAAACTGGTGGGAGCATAGGTACAGAAAGCAGAAGGTTTTAAAGTGACAGTAAAGTGTGATTTAAAGCATCTGGCATCAAGATAGTTGTTTGAGTTCTGGGCAACTGATGGGGCAAAAAGGAAGCAGTTGGCTGGGGTGTTTTTTGGCCACTGGGAGTTGGTCTAAATTCTCTAGTTCCAGTTAGCCGAAAGCCCTTTACTTTGACTGACTTATTAGTTCTCTTCACTACACTGTGTGAAGCAGTCGTTCTTGACTTCTCTTTTGGCATCTAATTTCTGTATAACCTGCTTCTTGTTCAGCAAAAAACCCAGGAAGACTAGATAGACCATATGGAATATTTTCCAGTATTCCTGGAAATTTATAATCGGTGTTGTATTGCAGCAGTATTAGCTGTAGGTGTTTACTCTTCCTGCCAGCTGAGTATAACTTGATTTTTTTAAACTAGAGGTCAGTACATCACTTCTATTCACCATCATTTTCAGTATTAGACTAATGGTATCTATTGCACACATGGAAAACTGTGCAAAAACCAGAAACTGTGGAGGCAGATCGCAAAAGATAAGAGTCTAAAAGTGGGAGATCAGGTGTTAGGCAGACCTCACTAGCATAAGAGAAAAGAACATAAGCAAGTTTTAAAAGTCTCTGGAGTCCCCTGATGAAGATGTGAGCAGCTGACAAGTGAGATGAAGTAAAAGGTAAGTCATCAATGACTCCTTTCCTAATTAGCCTTGGGATGAATTTGAAGGGCTGTCATCTAGTCAAGTGAGCTAAGAACAGGTTAAGACCATTAAATTTTAACAAGTAATTGGCAGACCAGATAGCATGTAATTTGCAACCAATTTGCAACTGCTCAGATTAGCACAATGCTTCACACTACTGTTTTCCCTGAGCAGCACAGTAACACTGTACTGAAGCAAGCATACCCTATACTTTCATCCCATTCCTGGTTTCACAGAAACAACTATAAGTGTGTTTAGTGTTTGTATTTCCAGTCCTGCAGGTCTGTAGATGCAGATCATTTACTAAAAGTAGTGTTTCAAGTATACTAACAATATAGAAGTTTGTGCTGTTCTTATGACAAAAGGCTCCTCCTAGTGTGCTACTGGAGGCCATAATTGCTCCATCTCACAGAAGGGACATAGCCTGGGCTGTGACTGCCTGCAGCAAGCAGGAAGAAAGAGTAACCAGACAAAAATTTCTGTGTCAGTTCTTATTTGCAACGATGCAAATAGCAGTATTGGATGGGATTACAGTAAGTATTGATGATTTCCTGCAACTTCCATAAAAAAAGCTGCTGTGTGTTGACCATATGTAGTTCAGAGAAGTGATGTGTCTGATGAGCCTTTGATAAAACAGAAAAATTTCATTTTTCCTTTCCTCATTTTGGCAAAGTCACTCATTAGCAGTGTAAAGCAAATAAAACCCAGGAAAAAAGTTATCTTTGATATTAGGCTGTTTGTTAAATTTGCTGACATTTTAGTAACAGTAGTAGAAACTAACTTCTTAATCTTTGGAGTCTGCCTCTATACCTCAGACTTGAGGAACAGGTTATTTGTAAGTGTAATTTGTCTTATTTTCACACCATTCTTAGGGTCAAAAATAACACTATATATTTACCTCTGGGGATTTTGAACTCCATTTTACTATAGCAAATTTATCCTGCCACAGGGAAATCAACCAACCAGTCCACATTAGAAAAAAAAATGTAGCACTAAGCCTATTTAAAATCAACTGGTCAATTGAACTGAAATATTTGAAGATTAAGAAATTAACTTTACTTAGATATCACAATGTTGTCTGCATATAATGCAGACCCTGCAAATAGAAAACAAAGCATTCACTCTGCATGAAAGACTTGCTGTTCCTTTTGATCAAGTCTTCTCTATTGTTTCCAGGAATCTTGAAAGCTTAAACACAACTGGAAAAAAAATCACTGTTCTTGGTTGCAAATGCATGTGAACTTGCCTGACGTCAATAGTTTAAAAGTGTGGCCCACAGCGAAAAACTAAGTACTTGGATTAAAGTTTGCACCTTGGTGGGTTTGCTTTTAGCAAGAAAAATGGAGAACAGCAGAGCTCTCCAGTATAGCCACTTTAACCAAACTGTTCTATCAGGCTTTCAGAATTACAGCCAAAAATAAGCAAAACACTACATCACCTCCCCTAATCCCACCTCCTCTCATATCATACACTGGACCTTAAATATCTTCCTTTAAAATCCACTCTCCAGTAAGGCTATACCTGACACAGACACCACCTCCCAGTCTCCAGTATCTCTGGTACATAAAACATTGACAAAACGCTGCCTACCTTGCATTCCAAGCACTTCCAAGTCACATGTAACCCATTCCTGCTTCTTCCATCTAGAGAGCTCAAAGGGCCCACTGCACTTGCCTTAAATAGATAAAACGGTTCTAGCCCACAGGTTCAGTGAGATTTGACAAAATTGAGGGGAATCAAAATCACCTGTGTAATTATGGATTTCTACCAATGAGATGAAAGTAAAATGTGTAACATGGTAATTGAGAGTGGAGGTAATTATAGCTACATGGAGGTTAGCTAGTTAGTATTGTTAGTATAGCTAGTTAGCTAGTTAGTATAGCTACAGTGCCATGCTGTTGCCTGAAGGACTGAAAATGTCTGGGATGCATACATGTGTTTACAGATATATTTATCTATCAATGCATGTGCATGTATACTGTATTATATATGTATGTATATAAACATATATATGCAACAATGATACATATACATGTTTATATAATATTTTTTTCTAGCTTGACAGTGGAAGTAAAATGGGCAGTAAAATGTGTCTTCTGTTCATTTGATTAACTCATTGCTTACAAATACCTCCACTTTGCTAAGGGCCATCCATTAGACTTAATGCTGATTCTGAGACTTGTCATGATCTTCATGGCTCTTTGCTTTCAAGTAGTGTGTTAACAATAGATATTTAAAGTCCCCGAATGTTAGATATAAATACCATATTGTAGCTGCATGAACCTGATTGAAAATGCTTTATCTGGTAATGGTACATGGAGCCTATTTCTCATGTCATGTTCTCAGTCTTTCATTTGAGACCAGATCAAACCAAAAGCTGTGACCACTGAATGTAGGACTAATAAGATTATAGAATGAAGCTGTGGCATCGATTCACTGCCTAGAGGGTAGGTCCTTGTACCACAAACAGCATATATAGCACTGTTGCATACAATACCTTGAGAGTATAAGCTAAGACCCAGACTGCAATCATGATTGGGTTGAATTAACTGGGGTAGAATTGTTTAAAGCATGATACACTGTTTTGCAAAAGTACATCTAGTACTCAGAGATGTTGCTTCTGTTTACCCTCATGTAACTGCCCCCATGACTTTTTCAATTGGCCCAAAAAAAGCTGTCTCGTGAGACAATGAAGCTTTTAGTGCCATCACCTAAGCACCTCCAGGGGTGTGAGACATGGTGGTGGTCATTTCAAAGGTGCAGGCATCTGTGTAAGCAGCATAAATTCACATTTTAAGAGTCTGCATGTGATACTGACCTTTGAAATCCAAAGGAGTGGAAAGGCTGCCACTGTTAATTTGGCACTTAGCTTCATGGTTTTCAGATTATGACAATATCAAGCAAGTCTGCTCACAATTCGCAGTGTGCAGAGTGTATATGACATTATAGAAGATCTATCTCTTGCTCTTGTGCAAGTTCCTTTGTTTGATGATCTACTTCATTCCAACAGCTATTTCTGCTGAGCAACAGAGTTTACATTGTCTCTTCCAAGTGACAATCAATATAAATATACTATGTTTATTATACTGCTTATAAACTTATCATAAAAATACAAGGGAAGTGAACTGTGTACTGAGCACTGCATGAACTGTATACAAAGAAATGTGCCATGTTTTTATTTGTTTGGTCTATTCGAAGAGTAGAAGAATATGAACTGAGTGCCTAATTAAAATGAAGTGTAACTCATAACAGTTTATTTGCACTGCAGTGCATTTGCCGCGTTATTCATTACATTGCATTCAGTACCTTATTATTCAGTTATAGTACACTAGAACTGCCACTTAAAAAGAAGTGAAACATGTTCTTTCTTTTATTTGTGTCCAGGGTCTCAACCATCTGCTTTACAGGGCTTCATCAGTTTACACATCATGCTACTAATTACAGTGAAGCTCTAATTGGACATGTGATTTAACTAATAAAAAGGATCCAAGCTTTTTAGTAGTAGATAAAACTTAAGTGATTTACTTCTGATAACCCTTCTGTATGTAAAGTTTTGTCTTTCCTTTTTAATGAGTCCAAAATCAAGAAATAAAATGGTAACATAAACTTTGTTCAGCCTGAAATTGCTTTTGCAGAGCTTTAGACTGGGTTCATTTCAAACACTGCAGCCTCACAGGATGTTTAAGTGTATACATATCACATTTGCAGTATTCAAACCATCTCCTCTCTGTAGAATATTTGGTTTTAGCTGAGAAAATTCCCATTCATCATGTCATACATCAATCTAGTAGCACAGAAACGGAGGGATGATATCTAAGTACAGGCAGAATGGTTCTGCTCTCTAGGACATATTTCCTATGGTTCCTTTTTGGAGATGTGGAGTTTATACTTGAAAGATTACACAAGGAAATGAAGCCTATATAAGGCACTTAATTTTTGTCATTTTTTAAAGACAGAAGCTAATGTTTTCATATCTGAGCCTAAATGCTCAGAGAAGTCAGGGAGAAAATGTGCATCGATAAAAGCAAAGATACCATACAAAGTAATGTTACTCTTACAAAAATTTACATGTAGTTATATTTATATGTGAAATACTGATTTGATGAAAATCAGTGAGGAACATCTTAACAGATAAGATTTTGCTGTGTACATTCTTAATTTTGCAGAAGAACATGAGACTGGTATTAAATTTCATTTTCAGATGCATTTCAAGGATTATGAACTTGCATAATGTAAATAAACATCATATTTAGTGAAATATGGGTCATGTGCTGCTATATAAATGAAAACTCCTACCCAGGCAAAACTACAGAGCATTTTAATTTGCCATGCAGTGTGTACCTACATTTCATGGAGAATGAGCCTTTAAACCAATAGAGGACAGGGTAACGTATGTCTTCTGTTTACAGCACCAGCAGAAGTCTGAGTTGGTTTCATTGGAGTCCATGGGTAGTTTACTCCACTGTACTTGCACCAGCACCAGAAAAGTGGCCAAGTTTCCACACTGTACCTATTCCATACTGCAGTAAAGTATACTTTTATTTTAAAGTGACCTAATTGCACAGTTTCAGTGCCCAGGACATGGAGCAGTTATTTAGCGTTGCTCTGTGATTTTAGATGATGATACTGCTTTACAATGCTGCGCTGTGTGTACATGCAAAACCTCTGTTCTTGGATCACAACTTTGCTTAGGAATCAGGGTGACATTTCTCACAGTCAGGCCCTCTCTAATTGACAAAGACCCTTCTATCTATCTTTTTAATGATACTTCTATTCATTCTTCGATTAGTAGCACAAACCAAAGGCAAATGACATGTCCTCTACAGTCAGCTACTTAATGCTGTCATTTTTATCACTGGGTAGACATACAGACAGATAGACATTGCTCAGCCTGAAGGATTTATTTTGTTTCTAATTACACCTGGACTATTTCGTAAATCCAAAATTTACACCAGAAACCATCATATTCCTAACCCAACCTGAAAAGACAGCAAATCTGGGTAGTATTTGAAGAACTGTCTTGGAAGGAAAAAAAATAAGTGCACATGCAGGGTGTTCAAGCAATTGGGTTTATAGGGACAGTAACTGGACTTTATAAAAATACATTTCTTCCTGATTTAAATACAAAGTGGTATTAAAAATGTCTCTGCCAACTAATTATATATTGAATTTTTACAGTAGCGTAGAAAATAAGAGCATTTTCCTCAAGTTAAATACATCTTGTAAAGGTGTATGCTACCTCACTCACTAAACATCAAACCCAAGTATTTTAGTTCATTATTGGATGTTGTATAAGCAGTTTGCAAAAACTGGGTCAAAATGTTTGTTTAAAAATGTTGCATATCTAAATAGGAAGGGGACTTGTTAATCCATGAGCAGGGTAGGTCACTCTGTTGTGGCCGATTACTTTTCCCTAATTGTTTTATAATTATTTCCTTTGGCACTAAACATAAACTTTGGGCTTAAATAAGTCTGCTTTAACAGATCAGGTTAGTAAGTTCAGGACATCTATTTATCTTCTGAAAAGCTTTTCAAAACATCTGAAAAAATTAGAATATTCAAAGAAGTGCAGGTAAATTGTGGGTATACGTGATCTGGCACACATGCTTCTTTATTTCTTTATCCAAGCCCAGCCTATGTATTTTGCAGCTGCCAGGGAAACTTGTTAGGGAAATTGATACTTCTCAGACTGTCGTATCCTAATCCAGTATTTTACTAAAAAAAAAATCATAAAACTCTTCATAAAACTCTTCGGTCTACAGAGAGAAAATGCTGTTGTTTACATGACCCAGATAACCACTTCAGGCCTCGTAGTGATCAAAATTATCATGCAGTTTTTGCAGTCTGGCTCACAAAGTTATGCTTGTAATAGCTTCATTTGTATTTGTTTCCTTTAAATACATCTTTTTAGAATATTTATGGGTACCGTTCCCCTTCTGCAGAGCCCTTGTCCTTGTAAGCTAAGCAGCCAGTGTAGCTTAGGATATACCTCAGTATAAATAATTAATTGAAAGCATAAAGTATTGAAGAATATTGTTTTAAACTTTATTCTCTGACAATATAAAAAGAAAACATCATCTAATTAAAATGTAGGTGTTATATGAAACAGAAAGAATTTGGTTTCTCTGACAAATGGTATTGCAACCTTTGACAGGATTTTTTTTTTTTTTTAATAAAAGAAGTGTATTTTCTAGAAAAACACAGCAGGGATGACTTATCCCTGAAGTAAATATACAGCCTGCGAAACATAAATAGCAAGACTAATGGAAGAGGAATATATATAAACTAGATTAGCAGAAAAGATGAAAGCATAAAAAAGCATGAGTGTGCTGTGAAAACTCTCCTGGGCTAACTAGAAAAACTCATCAGGGTGTGCCCAGGGAGAAAAGAAATAAAACATTAAAGATCAAACAAAAAAAAACCTGAAATTTGGGTAATAATTTCAGGTGTTTACATGTACTACCTAGGTAGCAACATATGTAAGATGGACTTGCGGTAAAGAAGATGCATGATTAAAACCGAGAAACAAAATGCCATTTTGCATGTAGATTTTGGTGCCAGGTGTTCCTACAAAATTCAAATACCCCTACTCAAGTTTACATCATGTCTTGATGCACTAATATTTCTATGATCTTGGGCATTG